GAGGCCAGGAGGCAGAGCAGAGAGCATTCTGGGCTGGAGGGACAGCCAGAGAGGATTCCCAGAGCCCAGAGAGGGAGGGTTGTATTCAGGGACACCCAGAAAGCTGGGGAGGTCCGGAGGCAGAGTGGAGAGCGATCTAGACAGCCAGAGAGGATGCCGACAGCCCAGAGATGGAGGGTTATATTCAGGGACACCCAGAAAGCCAGACGTACTAGATGGAAGAGAACGTGTTGGGGAGTGAGGTGTGAGACTGGACAGGAAGGACAGGCCAGAAGATGAAGGACTTCAAAGGCCCAACAGAGCATTTCATCTTTGACCCTGGAGGTGATACGGAGCCCCTGGGGGGTTACTTAGTAACTGGAGGGAGGGGCGATGCAGTCAGACTTGGGCTTTAGGAAAGTCACTTTGGTGGCCGAGTGCAGGATGGACTGGAGCGGGGGGAGCCCGAGGCAGGCAGCTCCCCGCCAGCAGCCATAACAACAGTCCCAGCATGAGGCAATGAAGGCTGACACTGGGGGGTGGCCGTGTCAAAGCAGTGGAGGGGGCGCATTTGGGAGATGTCAAAAAGGGAAAACTGGCTTGGATATGGCTGGCGAGGAGTCCAGGGAGGTGCTGGTGCATCCACAGTAATGGGGAATCTGGGAAGAGGGCAGGGTTTGGGGGAAGAGAGAAGGAGTTCAGCTTGGGACATGCTCCATGAAGACATCTATGGGAGCCTGGAGGTCAGGAGAGAGGTTAGGGCTGTACCCGTCGATCTTAAAGTCAGCTGCACTGAGATGCTAGCTGTGCACCGAGCTGGGGACAGCCTGGCCAGACCTCGGAGGCAGCAAAGGGTCTGAATCAGGGCCACAGCCCTGGAGGGGAGAGAGTTCCGGACAGGAGAGAGGCTGGAAAGGAGGAAGCAGAAGGCTTGTCCGGTGATCGGAGGAATGGTAGGGAGCTGAAGTCCACACCAATATGACAAACCTGGAGGCATGGAAGAACTGTGGAAACTTCCACAGAAACGGGGAATTCTGGAGGCGACCAGCAAAGATAATGAGCTCTGTGGGAACTTGGAGTCTGGAAGACTCGGGTTCAAATTCTGCCTCAGACAGTTACTGGCTGTGTGGCCCTGGGCAAGTCACTTCACCCTGGCTTGCCTCGGTTTCTTCAACTGTAAAATGGGGAGAAAAATCATCGCTGCCTCCCAGGGTTGTGGTTGCACCCATTCAAGGATCTGCTCTCATGCTTATTCTTTGCACTCTTATTTGCCTTCTTCAGTCCCTCAGAACATCTGGGTTTTAATCACAGTACTCAGACAAGGTCTCCTCACCTGGTGGCTGACCCCCAGGGGCTGGCCCTCCAGCTCACACCGGCCCCAGGTCCAATGAATTCTCACACAGCCCATGACACAATTTACAAGCAAATTATATTCTACCTGCCCTCCCTGTTGAGTGTGAGACTTACGTGGACAAGTACAAATGGGTGCCAAATGCTAGCAGGTCAACGTCTTCTGACCTCCCGTCCCCCTCCTCTCCCCACCTGGGCCCACTGGTCCCTTCCAGCCCCACCATCCCACGCTTCCGTGGCCTAATGGAGATGCCAGCCAATCCTGGAGGTGGGGGAGGACCCAAAGCCCTCAGTTTTCATCATCAACCACCTACATGTCTACAGCTAGTCCAAGTTTGTAAAGCATGTATACGCATTTACCCACTTAAATGTCATAAGTACCCTGTGGGGTAGGTAATACCACTATTATTGCCCCCATTTTACAGGTGGGGAAACTGAGCTCAGAGGGTAGTTTAGGGGACTTGCCCGGTAGGTGAGAGACAGGGGGACTTGAACTCAGGTCTTCCTGGCTCCAACTCCAGCATTTCAGTGACTGGCTGGCAGACAGGCTAAGAACCCTCCAACACAAATCCACCTCCATTTTGAAGTCGCACCATCGTCCCAACTGCGGGTGTGACTTTTGAGCCATTTCCAGGGCTCTCCCATGCCACTGTCCACTGAACCAGGCCCAAGGAAAACTCACCGGGGCAGGACCGCAGGCGGACAGAGCGGTCACCACCTCCCTCTGTGCTTCCTGGGTGCCCGGGGGCATGGGCACGCCTCCGTCCGTACTCGTGCGCCTCTCAGTGCTGGCTCCATCGGAGGCGGGAGCTCGAGGCTCTTGCAGAGCAGATTCCGCCGTTCTCACGGGGGCATTTGGGGCATCCGCGCCCCGGTGGGGCCCCATGGCTCCAGCCGCAGACCCTGGCAGGCGCCCAGCCTTGGACAGACTGGCTTGGGGGCCGCTGCCTGCGTGGTTCGCTCTCGGCTCCCGGGCTGCTCTGGGAGCCTCCTGGGAAGCGTTTCTGGAATGGGTTGTGACATGCACCACCTGGCTGCTAATGAGCTTAAGGAGGGGCGGCCTGTGGCTCTTACTCGGGAGGACGTCTGCCTTGGCACTGGCCTTCCACTCAGCTCTGCTAGGCCCGCTGCTCGAGGGCAGCTCTGCCGGTGGGGGCCCTGCGGGCGGTGGGGGCCTTGCTGCTGCAGCCGCCGGCTCTCGGGGCCGCAGCACCCCACGAGAGATTACCTTGGCTTTCACGTTCTTGAAGTTGGGCCTGGGAAAGCTGATCTTCTCTGTCCTGTGGAGGCTGCTTCCTGCTGGGCTCCCCGGCTTGGGCGCAGGTTTTCCCAGGACTTTGCCGAGGGCAGGTTTTAGCCCCTTGATGGGGGCCAGTTTCCTACTGGGGTGCTTGGCCAGCTCTCGAGTGATTTTTCCTTTTTCAGAAGATTTCTCCTTTGTTTTCTCAGGAAGCAAGACAGAAAAAGTCTCATTGGGGCACCCAGGGATAGCTGGCGGCAGATAACCAACATCAGTGGGGCTGGAAACGCTATCCGCTCCCGGCCCCGGCGACCCAAGCGATGGGGCCACTTCCCAGCCCGGCGGGGGACTTCCTGCCAGTGGGGTTCCCCCAGGATGGCTTCCGTCGCCCAGGCTGCCCTCAGGAGAGGCCATCTCATTCAGTCGGTCTCCTGGCTGACACAGCTGTTCCGCGGGGTCACTGAAAGGTGGCCTGTCCACAGGGCAGTCAGCCTCTGGACAGTACCCTGACAGCGGCACGGCTGGGGCACACAAAGTCTGCGAAGGGGGCTCCCCATTTGGTCGGTCTTCATATAAGCCAAAAGCCTTCTCTGTCAGAGGCATACATGAACCACTAAGCCCTTCCAAACCTGGCCCGGGGACTTCGGTCATTTCCTGCTGAAAGCCGTTGGTGAGAGCGCCAAGCATCTTCTCTGCAGAGCGCGGGCTCTCGGCATCTGCCGGGGCATCTATCTGCATGGCTGTCTCAGATATAACGAGATATGTGGTGTTGGAGACCTCACGAGGCTCCTGGGCAGCAACCCCGGGAGGGATCCCCGAGTCCTCGCCAGCCGGGTTGTCTCCTGTGCACACGTCAGAAGAACAGGCAGGAGCTGCCGTAGCCTGGCCGCGTGGGAGCCCCGGGTGGGGCAGGCTTCCCTGCGGAGCCGATGCGTCCAGGGCATCAGGCGTTGCCACGGTGCCCCGGCCTGCACCCGTCATTTCCCACCCTTCTTCCAGGCTGAGCACAGCAGGGCCCGGCGTCCCCTTAGCATCTCCACAGTCATGTCTCCACTCTCTGGGCCCTGAGAGCTGAACCCTCTGAGCCTGGGCACTGTTATACAGGTATTCTGGTTCCAGCAGACCCCTCTTGTCATTCACCCAGGACCCCCCTGGTACCTCACCACGCATCCCTGACCTTGCAGACAGAGGCCATGCCTCCCGAGAGACGTCCTCATCCCCCGCAAACACTTTGGTACAAGAATTGGTTAAGGAAATCCTTTCCCCATCCGCCCCCAGCGTGTGCAAGTGGGCTTCCTGAGCATCCTGTGGGCTGAGGTGGGGGAACGAGTCCCAGCGTGCGGGAAGGAAGGTGGGTGTTCCTTCAGGCGCCAACTCCTTCCCACGTTTCTCCCCTCGAAATAAGGCCGGCTGGGGGGCCTCGTGCTCTTTCTCTTCCCATTTCTGAAGGTTCATTCTGGATCGACCTTTTCAGCTAGTTCAACACAAAGGTGAAGAAAAGTCAGCGCCTTAAGTGGCTTAAAATCCAACTCGTCTCCTGCTTGGTGAGAAGGCTGGCACCCCAAGCCGAGCAGGCCATGGCTCTTTGTCTGACATTCACCAGGAAGGGAAACACACCTCGCTTCCTAAAATAAATAAAGAAACCTCAGTGTAAATGAAATGCCTAAGAATTACTCATCCCCACTTGACAATGCTTGCCCATTGAAGATTCAGCCTCGGAAACAAAAACTCACTCACCTAAGTAAGAGCTTATTATCAAGTTCCCAACCCACACCCTTTCCAGGGGACCAGGAGCAGGGGGGGAGATAGGGGCTGGTGCCAGCACACCCCCACCGCCCCCTCCTCCCCGCCACCTTTCTGCTCCTGCGCCCCTGGGAGAAGTCCTGACCCCAAGCCCCCACTGCCAGGCACACTCAGGGCTCATCCTCCAACCTGGAAACCAGGAAGCTGGGAGGCGCGCATACCTGGGGAGCAGACAGATAGACAGTCACGGAAGGAGTCCTTCCAGATTTTAGGGTGGCGAGGGGCCAGGCTCACCTTCCATTCTCACTCATGTCATGGGACCCAATGAGGGGAACTGGCATATTCCAGGGCCAGATTTTATTAAGCCCTCAATCCCACCCACTCCCTCCCATTGATGAAAATCCCCAGGGGGAATCCAACCAGAGAGTGAGAATTTGTAAGCCAAAGTCACACAAGCTTGAGAAATAACTGCTGATAAATGCTGCCGCCAGAAGTGGCTGAAACTCAAGGCACCCAAGGCAAACGCACAGAAGGCTGCTTGCAAAACAGACTTCTGAAAGGTCCCCAGGACAAGGGAAAGTCATGAGGCCAGAGCGGTCTCTGAGCTGCTGACCAGGAAATGCTCCAGAACATGCTGGGGCTCCCAGGTGCCTCTCAGAGCCAAGACCGACTCTTCAGGCTGGCACTAGAAGGCCTGGCCAAGTCCAGTCTGGCTCTGACCCCCGCCTAGATGGCCTCCCCCGGCAGGATGTCCCACAGCACCCCCTCACGGCCAGGGAGTGGTCACTCTTCTGCCTCCCTCTCCCCGTCTCACCCCCGGTGAAGTCCCATTCTTTCCTCTGGGCCCAGCTCAGGTGTCTTCTCATGCCAAAGCCTTCTCTGATCTGCCCCACCACCTTGTCTGCCTAGGGCTTTCAGTCCTTTCCCTTGCCCCATCCCATTTTACTTGCCTCATCCCATTTTAATCGCCTCACATTCAGCATGTATACCACCCCTGCCAACCATCTGCCCACCCTGAGGCCAAGAGGCCTGTCACACATCCTGGCGTCCCTGCGGCCAGCTCAGGGCCTTGGACAGGGCAGGTACTCAGTACAGGCTTGCGGATTCGAATTCAGCTCTAAAAGCAAAGCCTGTCTGTAACCAGGCTAACTTCTGTCCAGGAGGCCAGTGAAGACTCGCCCCTCGCCTTCTGGGCTACACTCGTTTCAGGCCAGCCCCAGAGCACGCCCGGGTCTGTGCGTCAGAGGTCACTGAAAGCTAGGGGCTCAACCTCAGCCTCTGACCCTTCAGTCTGCTGGTCCACGAGGGAGGAAATGAGCAGGCAGGCAAGCTGAGCCGAACGTTCCAGAGCTCTGCCTCGGGCCCCTCTCTTGCCTCCCTCACCGCTCCCCACCCCGGCCCATCCAGCCCCCTTCTTGTGATCACTGACAGACGTGCTGTGCGGGCTGGCCTGGGGTCTTTGTCTGTCTGCTGCATCACTGATGCCGCCTGCACCAGGCGAGAGACCGAGGTCCCCCACGGGGTGGAAGGGCCGGAGTGCCTGCCCTGAATCCAAACAAACATTCAGAAGGTCCTATGTGTCCCAGGCATGTTCAACACCGCTCATGGAGGTGCTGGATCCAGGGAAGAGTCCCCAAGGATACCTGACTGGCCCACCCCTCACTCCCCGTGAGTGCGCCAGCTGGCCTGGAGAGCTCTGCTGCTGGTTGTGCCAGACTAGACCCTGTTCACTTAAAGGGGGTTATGGGGAGTATACAAACTCTACTGCAGAACACAGCACCTTCCAGACTGCTTCGTGGCCTCCCAGAGCCAGTCTGGGGCAAGGACACCAGCCCCGGATTCAACACCAGAGGACCTGGATTCAAATCCCACCTCTGAGGCTTAGCACCTAGTGACTTTGGGCAACTCTCTTCTGCACCTGAGGCCTCTATTTCCTCACCTGTAAAATGGGCAGGTTGGAAGGGTCTGGCTCTAGACGCTAGGCTCAAATGAGATGATTTTTGTAAAACACTTTGTAAACCTTAAAGTACTCTATAAATGCTGGCTATTGTTATGGCTATAATATATATCTATTATACTTGATCCTCACAACAACCTGGGATGTAGATGCTATTATTATTATTATCCCCATTTTACAGTTGAGACTGAGGCAGACAGAGGTTCAGTGATTTTCCCAGGGTCACACAGCTAATTGGTGACTGAGGCTGAATTTGAACTCTGGCCTTCCTAACTCCAGGCCCAGTACTCTGTGCACTATTGGCACCTTCCACCTCCCCCTTAAGGGGCGGGAAGTCAATAAATGCTAAGAATCATCCAGGTTTGGGCAAGAATCTGAGGGCACAGGAGCCCAGACACACCACCTGTGTGTCCTCTTCCCAGTAAAAGGCCAAAAGCACTGACTGAGTCAGTTTGGAAAACGAGCAGCCGGTGGGTGCCCCGTCCTTCCTCTGATCACCCCCCCCCAGCGCTGTCCATATGTCAGGGTGACGGGCCTCATCACATAGCACCTCCCCCTCCTCTGCACTGCTACCTCCTGATGCCCCCCCCACCAAGGCAAGAGGGAGGGGGAGAAATATAAACAGGGGGAAAATAGGATGGAGGGAAATACACAGTTAGTAATCATAACTGCAAATGTGAATGGGATGAACTCACCCATAAAATGGAAGGGGGTAGCAGAATGAATTAGAAACCAGAATCCAACAAAATATGTTGTTTAAAAGAGACACACAGATGAGGAAACTGAGGCAATCAAGGTAAAGTGACTTGCCCAGGGTCACACAGATAGTAAATGCCCGAGTCTAATTTTAAACTCAGGTCTGTGACTCCAGGCCCAGTATTCTGTCCACTGTGCCACCTAGCTGCCCAATCCTAAACATATGCACCAAACGACATAACATCCAAATTCTTAAAGGAAAAGTTAAATAAGTTACAGAAGGAAATAGAGTGGTGAGGGACCTCAACTTTCCCCTCTCAGAACTAGATAAATCTAATCATAAAATAAATAAGAATTGGGAAGATAAAAAGAATTTTAGAAAAGTTAGATATGATAGACCTTGAGAGAAAACTGAATAGAAAGACAAAGGAGTATACATTTTTCTCAACTGCACATGGCACTTTCACAGAAACTGACTGTGTATTAGGGTACAAAAACCTCACAAACAATTGCAGAAAAAATATTAAATGCATCCTTTTCAGACCATAATGCAATAAAATTACATTCAATAAAGAGAAGTGGAAACAGATTAAAAATTAATTGGAAACTAATCTAATCCTAAAGAATAAGTGGGCCAAAGAACAAATCGTAGAAACAATAAATAATTTCATTAAAGAGGATGAAAACAATGAGACTACATACCAAAATTTGTGGGATGCAGTCAAAGTAGCACTTAAGGGAAAATTTATATCTCTCATTGTACATCAATAAAAAAGAGAAAGAACAGATCAATGAATTGGGTATGCAATTTATAAAATGAGAAAAAAGAACAAATTTAAATCCCCAATTAAACATCAAATTAAAAATCCTGAAAATCACAGGAGAGATTTAATAAAACTGAAAGTAAAAAAAAAATTGAACTAATAAATAAAACTAGAAGCTGGTTTTATGGGGGGAAAAAACAGATAAACCATTGGTTAATTTGGTTTTTATTTATTTTTTTTAATTTTTATTAATTTATTTTGATTTATTGATAATCACTTCCATATGCTTTTGAGTTTAAAATTTTTCTCCCCCTTCCTCCCCACCACCCTCCCCAAGACAGCGCACAATCTGATATAGGCTATAAATTTACATTCATATTAAACATATTTTCACATTAGTGATGTTGAAAGTAGAAAATTAAAATCAATAGGAGGAACCATCAGAAAGAGGAAACAAAACTCAACAGAAGAGAAAAAAATAACAATTCAGCTTCCATAGTTCTTTCTTTGGGTGTGGATAGCATTTTCCATCACAAAGCCTCTGGAGATGTCTTAGATCCTTGTATTGCCAGGAAGGGTTAAGTTTATCAATATTAGTCATCACACAACATGGCTGTTATTGTGTACAACATTCTCTTGGTTCTGCTCACTTCACTCAGCATCAAACCATACAAGTCTTTCCAGGTTTTTCTGAAGTCAGCCTGTTCATCATTTCTCATAGCACAATAGTATTCCATCACATTCATATACCACAACTTGCTCAGCCATTCCCCAATTGATGGGCATCCTCTCAATTTCCAATTCTTTGCCACTACGAAAAGAGCTGCTATGAATATTTTTGTACATGTAGATCCTTTTCCCATTTGTGTGATCTCTTTGGGATATAGCCCTAGAAGTGCTATTGCTGGGTCAAAGGGTATACACATTTTTATAGCCCATTGGGCATAGCTCCAAATTGCTCTCCAAAATGGTTGGATCATTTCACAACTCCACCAACAATGCATTAGTATTCCAATTTTACCACGTTCTCTCCAACATTTATCATTTTCCTGTTTTGTCATGTTGGCCATTCTGATAGGTGTGATGTGGTACCTCAGAGTTGTTTTGATTTGCATTTCTCTAATCAATAGTGACTTAGAGCATTTTTTCATATGACTATAAATGGCTTTAATTTCTTCATCTGAGAACTGTCTGCTCATATTCTTTGACTACTTATCAATTGGGGAATGGCTTGTATTCTTATAAATTTGACTTAATTCTCTATATATTTTAGAAATGAGGCCCTTATCAGAGAGACTGGTTGTAAAAATTCTTTCCCAATTTTCTACCTTCCTTCTAATCTTAGTTGCATTGGCTTTGTTTGTGCAAAAACTTTTTAATTTAATGTAATCAAAATTATCTGTTTTGCATTTCATAATGTTCTCTATCTCCTATTTGGTCATGAATTCTTCTGTTCTCCATAGAT